AAATAAATTTAAAATAAGGTAAAAACATGCACACTAAGAAAAATAAAAGATGAACAATGAAAGGAAGGCAAAGGCTAGGAACTAATGTGACCCCCATCAAGGCACCGGGTGCTTAGAGTAGGTCCCAACCCGCAGCAGACACATTCTTGGCTTTCTACTCTGGGATGAGGTTTTATGAAATGAATCCTAGACACATTCAGGTTTCCATGCAGAGACCCCCAGCTTCTAACCCGCCGGCTTTCAACTGTAGCCCTGCAGAAATTCAGGAGACCAAAGGTAAAACACTCACTGCAATGGGAAGAGTTGGGGAAAAGCATCCCTTCAAATTATACAAGGCTGGAAGTGGAGAGCCCGCAGAGAAGGAGGCCTCGCCCAACTTCCCCTTTTCTCCATCAGAGAAATTTGCTAAATGTGTTTAAGACACAGGCTGGGCTCTTACACAGTCCTCCAGGCCCAGTCTCACGACAGGGAAAGTTTTAAAAAAGGGGACATTTCAGATAAGAGAGACCAAGAGAACTAGTATTTGAAGTCTATAGCAAGTACTTTACACAAGCTATGAGGCAATTCACACATAAGAACCGAGACTCAAGATGGTAAAAAAAAAAAAAAAAAAAAAAAAAATTGTCCATAGAAACAGTTTACAAGACGTAGAGATGCACTGAAACCCAGTTCTTGCCAACTTTAGAACCCCAGCTTTCTTTGAAAAGCTTTTTTGAATATGGGCTGGGCACAGTGGCACACACCTGTAGTCCCAGCTATGTGGAGGCTGAGATGGAGGATCACGTAAGCTCAAGAGTTCGAGGCCTGCTTGGGCAATACAGCGAGACTTGGACTCTTTAAAAAAGAGAGAAATAAACACGCACACAGAAAAGTGCAGCATGCTGGAAAATCCACTTGCTTCTTTTCCGTTTTCCAGCCTCCTCTCTCCCCCAGAGGCTGATGGGGACAGATTCCGTTAGCACAGGGCCCCTGCTAATGGGAGCCTCAGAGGAGCCTGAGATGGGGTATTTATTCCCCTGGTTCCTTCCTGCAAGGGAACCTCAGGTTTACTGTCTCTCAACAGAAAATCCCTACTCTGCTCAAGGCAGCCGACTCCACAGGGGTCTCTCCTTCCAGGTTCTAGTAACCTCTCCCTCCCTTCACCTCCCTCTCTGGCCTAAGGATGGTGAGAGGAACAAAGCAATAGTGCCAGGGTCCTGCCGTACAGATCGGGGGGCTTCCTCATTATTACGTGCTCCCACACCCCGCCAAAAGTTTTTACCACCTAAGCAGGAACTCTGAACATTTTATTTTCATTTGGTCTGCTTGAGATGTCATCACACTACTCAGAATGGCACCCAACTGAAAACTTATGAATTGTTTATTTCTGGAATTTTCCATTTAATATTTTTGGACCATGGTTGACTGAGGATAACTGAAACCTGGGAAAGCAAAACCACAGATAAGGGGCAACTACTGTATACTCATCTCCACATGCACCTCCTTTAACTGTGAGATCAGAATTGGCAGTAGGAGGTCAGGTACATCACAATAACCATGGAGTTCTACTCAGTCAGCTGCCTTGGCGACTTTGATCTCCTGGTTCAGTTAGTGAAATGTCACACTTCAAACTCTTGGCCTGGGCCCTACAGGACTTCAGTGGCTCCAGGACTGATTTCACTGCCATGTAGGACCCTTCTCCTACGAAGATCCTCTTGGTGACAAAATCTTTAATATCTTTAGGGAACTCTACTTTCATTTTTGCTGATTTAGATCTATTTTAACTAGAATTATCTATCACTTATATATGGTTATATTCGGGTTCAACTTGTTTGCTGGGAGGTAAGTGTCTGAATGTCTATAAATCTATAAAACTTTAAAACTGTGCAAAAATTGCTAAATAACAGGAATTTGGGAATGCTAAATTTATAATACAATTTAGGAAACCAAATGAAAAGGAGGTTTATACTAACTTGGCTGTAAGATTATAGCTGTAGATTGTTGAAACTTTTTAAAAAAACACATTGAGCCAAATAGCTTCTCAATCTTTTTTATTCAGAAATTCCTACTATTCAACATATCCCCCCACATCCACCCCCAATGAAGAACAGTCAGTTCAGATACAAGTTTGAGAAACAGAGGAGGAGGGGACAAAGGTTGCACAGTATCAAAGATGGAGAATGTCAGAGCCAAATGATAAGATTCTCTCCCTAGTTCAGAGTACTGTTTACCTCACAGCCTCTGCCTGGGGACTGGCTTTTACCAACCTCGCAGAGCTGGTGTGCTGACTGCCCCCGTGCTGGGACACATGAACAGAAACAACAGTGGTGCCTGCTCACTGGGAGGCAGGAAGGATAAGCCACCCTCATCCTAGCTATGGTGAAGGAACCGTGTTAAGAACAAGAAATATTTCATCTGTGGCACAGACAAATCTATGATACAGAAGCATGTTTTATAATGGGGATTTGCTGTATGAATGTATTACCTACATCATTTCTAATAATTTAAAAATTGGCTTGCCTGAATTATACCATACTCACCCAAAAACTAAGTTCTAGTGCTAAAATCAAAATTCACTTAGGGCTTTTAAACATCTAAACCAAAACCCAAAACTGGGGCTAAAACAGATTATTTCATAAAACAAAAGGAACCCTGCAGTCTCTGGGAATATGTGAAATCCCTCTTTTGCAAGGAGAAAAATTTCTCTTTCACTGATAGTCCAAAGTAAGTGAGGAAATTAAAGCTGCATGAACGGCCTCTAAATAAGTTCCTCTGTTTGAACTGAACATTGATTAGGTTCAAGTATTTAAAAAGCAAACTAGACACTATAAAAGTTGAATCCTTGACCCACTGTTTGCTTGCTGTCAAATGGTTTGGGGCAATTCTTTCCACTATAATTCTCTTTCAATATAGCCATCACTGGGAAGAGCCAGGAACACAGAGAATGGTGTCAAATGCTGCAGGGTCATGGGGAAGGCCACTATCCTCAGGCCCTTGCCTAAGACTCCACATCTCACAGCTGGTCAAAGTGTCCCTGCTGCCGACTCTGGGCTCAGTCATGTGTCCACGCCTCCCCCAAACCCTCCATTTCTTCACCTCCTTGTTCAGTCATACATGCAACCAATATTAGATGCCTCTTACATACATACACATACAACACACATCAACTTTCAAGGAACACAATTTAGTGGAGAATAACAGGCAAGTTAATATGCAATAAAAAATGCAGACATGTGCCACCATGGGGGTAAGTACCCAGTGCTAAGGGACCTTACAGGGCTGAGCAGCCCAACTTTGGAGGGCAGAGAAAACGTCCTGGAAAAGGCAACGTCAAGGACAAATAGCAGCTGGCAAAGGAATGTTACAGTGGGTGGAACAGCATGAGAAAGGCGGGAAGAGCTAAGGTCCCAGAGGGCTGAAATGGAGAGCAAGATGGGCAAAGAGGGAGAACCGATCCCAACATGAAGCCGGGTCTATGGGGTCCTAATCTTCCCTGATGCCTCTGACAGACTGGCAATTCAGAAATAAGAATGCCCTTGTGTACAGTAAAGGACTCAAATCCTAATGAGAGAACTCTTCTAGATACATGCCATCACTGTATCTGTTGACTTGAACAGCACAAGGGAAGCTAGTCAATATCTAACTTTAGAAAACTTGTCACAAGCTGTGTGAAATACGGTAAAGGACAGATCGGGTCTGCAGACAAGAGGTTTCTATCAGACTGAAATATCAAACTCCTGTGTGGTGTATGAAATATAGCTCCACATATAAAAAATTGATTGATGTAATTCAGCAATGAAGAAGTTATGCCTAGTGAATAAATCAATGCAATGACCTCGTAAGAAGTTATTATAGTAAGTAGCTAGGGGACAAAGAGAAGGACATTGCCCACCTGAAGAACCTGGACCTGGCTGTCACCTGAGTTCTTAGGCAAGTCACTCTCTGGCCTTCAATTTCCTCATCCCCACAAGAAATAATTGCTATGGTTGTTTCCAATGCTTCTAAAACCCATCATTCTGGCAGATTATCACAATCAAAAGTATTTTATCACCAAAGGCAAGGATCTAAATAACTTTTGTAAGTCACAGACTTGCTATAGTTTTGTCTGAGGAAAAAAAAGGTATGGGTCTTCAAACTGTCTTAAATTGAAAAAACAAATACAGTAAAGTTCATATACCTTTAAAAAATTGACAAACCATGCATAACCAAATATAAAGATAATTAAAATTTGAGGACAAGCAAATGAGATGGTGATTTTTTTTTTAAGAAAAGAAAGTAAAAAAAATATAACTAGGCAGGCAATGATTCAGGTTTGCTCACTTCCCTTTCTGTTGGTTTCATTTCCCTTTTTAGGTTAAAACACTCCTAATATGTAAATTAGTTCACTAAAGACTTCAAGAGTCCTTTCTGCTAAGATGTGCAGGAATCTTTATGCAAAAGACATTAATTCTAGACTTTCATGTAATAGAAAAGAGGTCTTACAAAAAAAAAAAAAAACACCAGCAAACTAAAGTGGGTAAATGTGTACAGCAAAGCAGAAGCAAATAATCAAGGATCCTAATTTTAAACATTTAAAAATATTTAAATGGTACAAAATGGATATTCTATGATTTTAGGAACTTGATCATAAAGAGTTATATTCTGTTTAGGAGTACCTACGAAGTGCCAGGTACTATGTTAAGCACTTGGGATTATTCTGGTTTAGGGTCCTCACAATCCTATCAGATGGTATTATCTCTATTCGACTGTATAGAAACTAAGTAGGAACAAAATCAGAGTGGTTAACTAGACAAAGTTACAGCTTAGAAAGGAAAGAAGCTAGACTTTAAACCTCATTCTATTCTATATCAAATCTCCTTCTATTTCCAGATATGCATACTTTAAGCATCAAAGTAAAAAAAAAAATACTGCCCTTTTTATATGATTCTCTTAAATATATGCCATCATCTCAAGGGGAGCTTATGCTAAGCATGACTTCATAAACAAATCATTTGTGAAAGAGAAAAACCACATCCAGGGTAAAGTCATAAGGTGAAAAAAATCTATTTCAGAGAGAACTTCCTGAAAGCGCAAAGCAGTGACTGCAGCCGACCAAGTACCAACTCCCATACCAAGCGTTCCATTTGAAACAACTTTTAAAACAACAAAAGAGCTGAAAACAAAAGAAATATAGCATCTCTTAAACATACCGTTTCCAGGAAGAGATATTTTAACAGAAGCAACTCAAAGATATCTTTTTTACAGAACTGGGTGTACTGAAAAATGTTCATCTCCAATACAGCCTTTTGATGGACAGGAGGTAAGCAGCATTTACCTAACTTCATCGTAGATTGTTATCAGAAGTAATGCTTTACACTTACTAAATTTCAAAATTGTTTTAATAATACATTACTGAAACTATGTTGGTGAAGGACTTTGCAATAGGTTATGTAGTCACCTTTCCACATTATTAATATGGTTTTGCATTTATTTTCAATAAACAGTAAATGTAATTTTTTTTAATTTAAGGAAAACAGTGATATGAGAAATCACAGGTATATTCAGGAGTCTTCATCATATGGTTTCAATTATATTGTTTCATGAAACATACTTAATGGTTTTTAAGAAAAGAAAAGCTACAGATAATTATGGACCTCGCTAAAGCATTTAAAAAGCTGACTTGAAAGGCAATCACTTTTCAGTATTTATCCAGAAATTTCTCTGTGTTTGCAGAGCACAACCTATACTGTAATGCCTCTAAAACACAAGCATCACTGTACTGTATTTTTTTCAAACTTAAGCAAATGAATACAAGTGTTGGTGACAAATAAGCTACATAAAAAGAGAGGAGCACAGCGAAGGAAGTATAGAACTTACGTGACAAAGTTAGAGGATGAGGATGGGAGAAGGGAGCCTGAGGTAGTATTAAAAGAGAAAAAACCCACAAAATTTTATTTACACTATAATTGCTACTATTTAAAAATTCATTCAGGGTTAAAAATAAGATTTAAGCCTCCAAAATTATTCTCCTTCATATGAAACTAGAGACGTAATTTTTCTATGCAGTACTTCCTCATTTGATAGAAATTAATATTCTACTCACACCAATATTTAGAAAATTTAACATAGGTTTTTAAATATATAGAATTCTACTCCAAAATCATATTTAACCTAAATATTTGAAAAGCCAGTTTAGGAAGGAAGAAAAACAAAAATTCTGTCTTGTGCTTGTCCACAGCAATTGCTCAAATTAATTCTTACTCATCAATAATGCCACTGACCAGACTGTACTTCTCGCCCACAGTTCTCACTAAGGAGAGATTCTGGGCTGCATGTGAGACAGCCCACTCTGGGAAGTGACATTTTTGAAGGAAACTTTTCATCTACCTTCATATCTCAAGGGATGCCACAAGGTTCCATCTTGTTGCAGCGAGGCTAATTTTAAAGTTTCTGTCACTGGTGCTGCATCATGGGTGAGGGAAGTTTCACACTGAGGTCAATGATATTTACAGTCACAACTAATCTCCTTTCCATTTGGAATGGATAGATTTTGCTGGTCATGGGAATTTGTTAGTTTATACATACATACATATCGAGTTACTGAATGACTTATTAATTAATATCTACTTGTTTTAGATATTCCTTTTTTAAATTTAATTTTAAAATTTAAATAATATTTAAGCTTGTGTATCTAGGTAGAGTGAGGATATGAAAGTTACTATACTGGCAATGCTTATTTTTGAAGTGTTGCTTTCTGTGTAGCATTGCAGCAGAGCAGCTGGAATCAACTTCTAGGACACTGGTAAACAAGACCTGGAAGATGCAGGGTCAGGGGCTCCCAGCTGTACCTTAGAAAAATAGCTCATCTACGTTCTAAGAGTCAAGTTCTTGATCTGCAGACCATGGCACAAAACACTGCTGTTTGTAGACCGATGACAATTTAAAGAGAACATAAGATAATACTATGAAGAAGTGTCTGCCACTTTAAAAAAAGTAGGTTTAATGGCCAAACACGCAAGTCTTTATTGGCAAACTAGAGAAGAGCTACTGCAGGTCATCTCAGCAAAGGTTCCTCCCTTTATTTATCCATCAATTCAGTAAACACTTATTGATTGATTACTACTACATGCTCACTACGCAGTGGTGGGGATACAGCTGTAAAAAAGAAAAAGTTCCTACTCTCTCTCAAATGACAATTACTGTGAATGTTCAGTAATTAACCAGTTGTATGGTTCCTTTATTAGTTTTCCATATCTATTTCTATTTATATATTTTATATATTAAAATTATATTTAGTGAGTAAAAATACATTATTTGGACATTACTAATCTGGGTTGCAAAATATTTAAACAGAATGAAGATAATAAAAAGTAGCAAACAATTTTACAATATTAACAATTCAGAATGGCCTTTCCCCAATTAGTCCAAATCAAAGAAAGAATGTTTATTACAGAAACAACTGCTATCCAATTTCACACTACAGGGAAAAATTATAAAGAAACAGTTATTATTTGGGGAAGAAGGGAGGTGAGCAGGGAGAGAGAAAATGAATGAACTTGCCAGTACATTATGACACCCAGGACCATTTTAATAGATTAGTACAAATTAGTAATCATCCCTAAGGAATGTATTCCTTAATAAATACTAAGATACATATATGGAGTCTACAACATAAAATGCTCTCTGATAGCCATGTCGAGTGTAAGAATGTTAGCACTTATTTTTCAACCAAGAGTTTTATTCCTTTTATTTTTTCTTAACTATTTTTACAGTTTCTAAGTATCATGCTGCCTCCTGACAAGCTATAAGATGACCACCCTAAACAGTCAAGATCAACCTGTGCCTGCTAACAATTCACATCCAGAAGAATATAAAATTGCGGCCCTTGTCTTTTATAGCTGTATCTTTGTAATTGGATTATTTGTTAATGTCACTGCGTTATGGGTTTTCAGTTGTACCACCAAGAAGAGAACCACTGTAACCATCTATATGATGAATGTGGCATTACTGGACTTAATATTTATAATGAGTTTGCCGTTTCGAATGTTTTATTATGCAAAAGGTGAATGGCCATTTGGAGAATACTTCTGCCAGATTCTTGGAGCTCTCACAGTATTTTACCCAAGTATTGCTCTATGGCTTCTTGCTTTTATTAGTGCTGACAGATACATGGCCATCGTACAGCCAAAGTATGCCAAAGAACTTAAAAAGACATGCAAAGCCGTGCTGGCATGTGTGGGAGTCTGGATAATGACCTTGACAACCACCATCCCTCTGCTACTACTCTATGAAGACCCAGATAAAGCCTCCTCCCCCGCCACCTGCCTAAAGATTTCTGACATCATCCACCTGAAAGCTGTTAACACGCTGAACTTCACTCGACTGATATTTTTTTTCTTGGTTCCTTTGTTCATTATGATCGGATGCTACTTGGTCATTATTCACAGTCTCCTTCATGGTAGGACATCTAAACTGAAACCAAAAGTCAAGGAGAAGTCTGTAAGGATCATCATCACACTCCTGGTGCAGGTGCTCATCTGCTTTATGCCTTTCCACATCTGTTTTGTTTTCCTGATGCTGGCCGGGGAAGAGAATAGTTATAACCCCTGGGGAGCCTTTACCACCTTCCTCATGAACCTCAGCACATGTCTGGATGTGATTCTCTACTACATTGTTTCAAAACAATTTCAGGCTCGAGTCATTAGTGTCATGCTATACCGCAATTACCTTCGGAGTGTGCGCAGAAAGAGTTTTCGATCTGCTAGTTTACGGTCACTAAGCAACATAAATAGTGAAATGTTATGAATAATAGAAAGTTTTTTTTTTCCTTCGGATCTCTTTAAAATTCACTTTACTAACTACTCTAGGGAGAGTGGATATTCTGTATGATATTATCAAGTACCTTTTCTCCTGGAAAAAAAAATAAACTTTACAAACTCTTTTGTGGGATCTTATTATGGTAACATAATATTCTGAGTATTCTAATAAATTCATTATTTTTATTTTTAAAACTGGTATAAAACATGTTTGTGAATTATTTGGAGAAAAACACCCAATTTATGTTTCATAGTGTTTCATAGATAACTGACTTAACTTTTTGGATTTAATTCTATGTGTAAGTGATTCACATACGTTAATCAAGTCAATTGGAGGGAAATGTCCAGTTACTGTACAAAATACTTTGATTAAATTATTTTCTATCTAGACACTCCCTTAGGTTTAATTTACACTTAGAATGTGAGTTCTAAATCCAGTGTTTTATGTTCTAAATATGAAACTTCCAGGATTCCTGCATAAGAAACTATGTTTAATTCATTACTGTTATTTGCTGCAAAGCAAAATAAATAGAAGCAAGAATCCAAGGGGCCTGCAGAGGCCATCCCCACCAGAACTCCCCTCCCCAAATTCATTCTTTTGAAAACAGACTACAGTCATTCAACAAACACTGAGAGCGTATTATGCAGCAATCTCTACTTAAGACTAATGATGGAATCTTAACCTGAGATCCTGTTTTTACCCAATAATCCGAGTTCATGCCTATTACATAAGGTTTCTACTATATAGTGTAATACCACTCTCCAATACAGTTTGCTCTTCTTATGTGATTAAATATCACATTACAAAAGAGGTTAATTGATTTTTTTCCAGGCCATATTTTCATAGTATACTTATAAATATCACTGGTCAGGGACCTTGGATTCTTACCCTATAGACTTGCCATTTAATTTCTAATAGAGTAACAAATCAAGTAACTTCTTCATCTAAAAGAAAAGCAATTGAACTATAATCTATAAATCCCCTATTATTCCTAATATTATGGAAGTAAAATAAATGATTCAACTATAACTTCCTCTCTGATAAATCACCTTTATTACTCTCAACATGATCATCTCCTGATGGGACTTAGAACCAAATATATGTATTGGTTATAAATGGATTTCTAGAATTAACATGTGTAAATTCATATTATTTTAAAAGAGAAAAAAGTAAAAAACACAAAGGAATCTAATTGTAAAATAGCATTTTTGCCTAGAAGATACCTTAGATGATCTTCTAGTCTAATTCTTCTGTTTGAAATATAAAGAAACTGAGTTCTAAAGAGGTATGTGACTTGCTCAGCTGAAGAACCAGAACTAGAAACCAAATTCAGTTCTCTTTTTATGACAAACACCAATTTGTCAATAATAAAAAACAAACATGTTAACAGAATGTAAACATTCTCAGAACTACATCAGGTAAAGGAGTCAAGGTGCTACTAAGTTTCTCAACAAAGAGAAAAATACTTAAAGATTTTAGTTTGAATAGTTAAGATACTTTAATGGATATCTTTAACAAATAACTATTTCTAAAACGAGAAATAACTTCTGTATTTGATACACAGGCTTATGGTACACATAGATACAGTCAGACCCTACTCTGGATGTGTACAGATCAATCTACTCTTAAATTTATTAGATGGTAAGTTCTCTACAATAGCTTTTCTTGATAAGAAGAGTTTAGTCTAAGAGTACAACAAAAGACTGTTGGCACAAAATCAACAAAGTGAAATTAGGACATGGTTCTCACAATAAAAATGTAGATAATCTGAATTATAATTTAATTGTAGATAATTAAAAAGTTAAAAATAATTTAGCATTATAATCAAATACATTTTAACATTATACGTAAAAATTCAAAATCCCATTGTATTCTGGAGGGGTTTGATTCTGGAGCACAGTGTGAAATCTACACATAAATACTAACAATTAAAAAATAATAGGTTTATAAGGACAGATGCGTGACAGGCATGTGTTATTAGAAATGCCTAATACATATAACTTTTAATAACGGAGTTATCTTTAACTTTCAAAATCTAATGGTTACATTTTCTGAATGTAAATAATACTCATGAGCATCTATCATATGTCAGGTACAATTTCTAGGTAAAGCACTAGAAAAAGAGATGAATAGGTCTATGGTTCAATGGCCTTCCCTTATAGTCTGACTGGGGCTACACAGTAAACAAGACTAGCCCTTCAACATTATTGAGTGTAAGGCAATGAGTACATAAAGTGAAACTTCATTCTCCCTCAAAGAGCTAGCAGGTGGCATAGAAGGCACAGATAATGACCATGCAATGTATTAATAATAAATACTAACAGGAATATTAATAAATTTGTTATAGTACACATAGAAGGGCCAAAGGGCAAGAGGGAACAGAAAGTAAACCAAGTAGGCATGAGAATACAAATACGTAGCATGTTAAGAAAGGTGAATGACTGATGGGTGGTGGTCAGATGACCAGGGCTTTGAAGGGAAAAAAGAGCCAGGTGCAGTGGTGGTACCTGTAATCCCAGCTACTTGGGAGGCTGAGGTGGGAGGATTGCTCAAGCCCAGGAGTTCCTGGCCAGCCTGGGCAACAGAATGAGACTCCAGATCATTTATAGATAGACAGACAATAAAGGGAAAGAAGAAAACTAACATATGGAAGGGGTATGCGCTCACTGCTAGGAGCTTAGGAAACAGAACTTGAGAGAAATAACCTGCTCAAGATTTCATGTAACTACTGAGTAGCAGAGCTGCAATCTCAAAACTGGTCAGTCTGATGATAAAGAGCATGCCATTTCCACTATTCCAGACTGCCTTGATGGCACCTCGGAGAAGTCTGACCTTTATTCTGACAGAAAGGAGAATTTAAAGGTTTTTAAAAGGAGAATTGGCATGGTCAAGCCTGTATTTTAGAAAGATAACTTTTAAAGTTAATAAGACCCAGTGCCCTACCCCATTGACAAGAAAAGGGAAAGATTTCAAGCTTGGATGACTGAGTAGATGGAAATGCCATTAACTCAAAAATGAGGAGTACGGAAGGAGAAGGGGCAGAGAGTAGAGAGAGAGGAGAACAGAGGAGATGAGAGCTTCCAAACATGAGGAATTTTCTTTGAGTCTAGAAATCATTAGGAAATAAGACTCTAGAAAGATCAGGAGAGAGTAGTATGGATTGCAGACAGAGAGCCGGGAAACAGCAGATGTTCACTGGGGTTGAAGTCATGACAGCCCAAAGAAACCACTTGGAGTAAACTTGAGAAAAGGGCTGCACATAGTAACTAAGGTCAAAAAGGACCAGGAGAAACTGTATGGTGAGACTCAAGAGCAGGTTGTTTCATGAAATAAGGAGAGGTTAAAAGCATTTAATGTGCTACTGAAAGGTTAAACAGGATGACCAGTGTAGAAATTAGGTGGTTACTGGTGACCTTTACAAGAGAAGTCTCAATAGTGGTGGGCTTAAAAAAAAACAAACAGAGAAACAGAATTAAATGGGAACTGAAGAACTGCAGAGAGCGCAGATAAATTTGGCATTGACGGGAAAGAAAAAGATAACAAGATGTTATATTAAAAACAATGTGGCCAGGTGTGGTGACTCACACCTGTAATCCTAGCACTTTAGGAGGCTGAGGTGGGGAGGATCGCTTGAGTCCAGGAGTTTGAGACTGGCCTGGGCAATAGCAAGAACCCATCTCAACAAAAAGTAAAAAAAAAAAAAAAAACTTAGCCAGGCATGGAGGTGCGCGCCTATAGTCCCAGCTACTCAGGAGTCTGAGGCAGGAGGATCGCTTGAGCCCCTGGAGTTTGAGGTTGCAGTGAGGTATGATGACATTATCGCACTCTAGCCCTGGCAATATAGCGAGACCCTGAAAAACAACAAAACAACCCAAAAACATAGCTAGTTGTAAAGCACACTGATTTTAAAAAGAGAATAGCTTCTATTTGTTCTGTTGATTATTTCCTTGCTTGTGCAGTAGCTTTTTAATTTAATCAAGTCCCAGCTATTTATTTTTGTTGTTGCTGTGACTGCCACTGGGGTCTTCCTCATAAATTCTTCGCTTAGGCCGATATCTAGAAGAGTTTTTCCAATATTTTCTTTTAGAATTCTTATGGTTTCATGCCTTACATTTAAGTCCTTTAACCATCTTGATTTAATTTTTGTGAGTGGGGAGAGGTATGGATCCTGTTTCATTCTCCTGCATGTGGCTATCCAATTTTCCCAGCACCATTTATTGAATAGGGACTCTTTTCCCCAGTATATACTGTTGTCTGCTTTGTCAAAGATCAGTTGCTGTATGTGGATGGTTTTATAGCTGGGTTTTCTGTTTTGTTCCACTGGTCTATGTCTCTATTTTTGTGCCAATATCATGCTGTTTTGATTACTACAGCCTTGTAGTATAGCTTGAGGTCTCATAATGTGATGCCTCCAGATTTGTTCTTTTTGGTTAAGATTGCTTTGGCTATTTGGGTTCTTTTCTTGTTTCAAATGAAGTGTAGAATTATTTTTTCTAGATCTGTGAAATATGACATTGGTATTTTGATGGGGATTGCACTGAATCTGTAAATCACTTTGGGTAGTATGAAAATTTTATGTTGATTCTACTGATCCATGAGCATTGATATTTCTTTCCATTTATTTGTATCATCTGCAATTTCTTTCCTCAGTATTTTGTAGCTCTCTTTGTAGAGATCTTTCACCTCCTTGGTTAAGTATATTCCTAGGTATTTTATTTCCTTTAGTAGCAATTGTGAATGGTACTGAGTGTCTGATTTGACTCTCAGCTTGACTGTCACTAGTGTATAGGAATGCTACTGATTTGTGAAAATTGATTTTTGTGGCCTGAGACTTTGCCGAGTTTATTTCTCAACTCTAGGAGTCTCTTGGTGGAATCTTTGGGGTTTTCTAAAAATAAGATCATATTGTCTGCAAAAGTGATAGTTTGACCTCCTCTTTCCCGATTTGGGTACACTTAATCTACCTACAGAATGGGAGAAAATATTTGCAAGCTATACATCCTATAAAGGATCAATAACCAGAATCTACAAAGAACTCAAGCAAATGAGCAAGCAACAAATCAAACAACCCCATTAAAAAGTGGGCAAAAGACATGAACAGAAGCTTCTCAAAAGAAGATAGGCAAATGGCCAATAAACACATGAAAAAATGCTCAATGTCACCAATCATCAGTGACATGCAAATTAAAACCACAATGAGATATCACCTTACCCCAGTCAGAATGGCTTTTATTAAAAAGTCCAAAAACAATAGATGCTGGCACGGATGCAGAGAGAAAGGAACGCTTATACACTGTTGGTGGGATTGCAAATTAGTACAACCTCTATGGAAAACATATGGAGATTTCTAAAAGAATTAAAAGACAACCAACCAATTGATCCAGCAATCCCACTACTGGATTATTTACCCGAAGGAAAAGAAATGGTTTTATCAAAAAGAAACCTGCATTCGAATGTTTAATTCAGCACAATTCATAATTGCAAAGATGTGGAATCAACCCAAATGCCCATCAATTCATGAATGGATTAACAAAATGTGGTATATGTATACCATGGAATACTACTCAGTCATGAGGAAGGATGACTTAATGCCTTTTGCAACAACTTGGACAGAACTGGAGACCATTATCCTAAGTGAAGTATCTAAAGAATGGAAAAAAAAACACCACATATAATTACTATTAAATTGTAACTAACTGATGAGCACACATGTGCACAGAGGGAAGTAAAACTTAATGGAAATCAAGCTGGGGTGGGGTGGGGAGTGGGGATGACAGCAAAAAACTACCTAATTGGTACAATGTACATTATCTGGGTGACAGGCACACTTTTTACTCTGATTCGAGCATTACAAAAGTGATTCATGTGACCAAAAACATTTGTAACCCTGTAATACTTTGAAATTAAAAAAAGTAAAAATTTGTATCAACCCCCCCAAAAAAAGAGAAGAGTTTCTTCTCTTTCTTCAGTTTTTGAAGCTTTGCTATCATCAATATAATATACATTTACAAAATACAAAGTTTACTTGTTGAAGATTTATGTTCCAAGAAGTCATGTTTGAGAAAGCATGAAGATTTTAAAAAGTCATACTGCATACTATAACGTTCTGTGACTTAAGGAAGAGAAATATATTCTTATTCAGGAGATGCCTCAATTAACATTCATATTGTCTTTCAAGGGAGATACTACAACTTTTGAATTTATTCAAGTTTGCAACTCTCACTACAAACTAAGATTTAAATAGTTAAATGACTTCCCTCTCTTAAGAATAAGTAAAAATACTCCCATCAACTTCAAAATTGAATCAATCTTCTTTTTATGTACCAGGTAATAGGATTCCATAATGAAATAAATGAAGATTCTGCTGTCATTCAACTCTATGTGCATCAGAAGTATCATCAGATGAGAGGACAATGTAAATAAGAATTAAAGTTATGTTAAGAATTAAAGTTATGTTACTGTCCATCCCCAAAATTTACTCAAACACAAACACACATACCTTCCATAACACAGTAGGCCTTACAGAGAACCAGAAAGTACTGGCCTGAATGAGAAATGTTTTGGGAAAAACTGATAATGTAGTAACACTGCTTCTTTTCTCAATCAACATGGAATCATACCCAATGGCTACACTATGTATTTTCCACAATAAGAGAATAGTCCACTTAAACTTCTCAGTGTACTTACAGTTACCACCCGTGACACTCAATAAAAATTGCATGATTGTTATGACACAGAACTTTACCTGTCTCCATTCAAATATTATTCAAAATCATACATTATTAAAACTGCTAAAGGTTGACATTCACGGATATTCATGCCAACTATAATACAGCAAATCCCACGAAGGGCACCTATACTGTAAACATTAACAACGTAAGTGTGAAAGCTATTAGAACACCAATTATATTTTTTAAATAGAGATCCAAAGTGAATTTGAATCAAGATACATACAATAGCCTAATCGTTCTCAAAAACACATATTTAAAATTAAAACAAGACTGGAAGTTAGTCCACAGAATTTTAAATATCCAGTAACTATATTTCACACTATCTCCCAGATACTTAACTGAGAGATGCTTTTAAGGTCATTTATATATGCTAACAAATCTGTTCCTAGATACTAGTTATTTCATACACTAATATATATTGTTTTTTTTTTAAAAAAAAGATCAACACCACAATATGAAACTATAAACACTCTGAGTGAGGTTGGCCATTGCAGGTTGTCTACAAAGTTATCACCTATACTGACTTTGTTTTATGTTTGGTGAAGTATATAAAGCGGTATCACCTTTAAAAAAAAAACCTCCTTCCTCAGAAACTTAACTTCAAATAAATTTATTTTGTTTCCTAATCTAATTAAATTTGTATTTTTCTGTTTAATTAGATCATAAAATTGCACAAATTTCATTACAAAAACATTTAAAACTAATTCTAGCTTTAAGTGCAGAATAGAAAAATTTATTAAAAATTCTCTAAAACATGGAATTTCAAAGCTAAAAATAACTTGATTCTGTTTCAAGAACATAATGAAAATACAGGTATACACTGGATTTTTTTTACATATAAAATCAATTTTACTATATATAAAAGTTTAAAATAGTCTGACTTTCGTGCATAAAAACATTTTAAATCAGATTTAAATATTTCTAAATTGTCAATCTTTAACAGTTACTTACAATCCTGAAGGCAAATTACTGGCTGCAGTGATACCAAATGAATAGTGCATCATTTCAACAAGGATAAAGTCAAACAAGGCTGACAAAACCCAGGAACCCAGCAAAAAGGACTAAAAAACAAAACAGGAAAAAAATTATAGAGATATGTCTCCTAAAAATAAACTAACATCTACTCAGTTACAACCAGCTCAGGTATATACATATTTTAAAAGTTATTTGTTTCTATTAAGACAGACTTTTCAAAATTAAGGAGTAAACCCATATTGTTCAAATGCATTTAACTTCCACAATTTCTAAGTATGTTGAAGCAATGATATTTATAGCAAGATATATTTTAATAAGTAACACACAAATGACTAAGCAAAATAAGTGATTATAATTTTATTAAAGTTAAAGTCCTAATTAAAATTTTTATTATCTATTCACACCTAATATTATCTATTATCATTATTATTTGATTATGCTAATGGCTTAAATTTAAAAATTTTCTTTGGTTAATGTGCATGCTTCAAATCAGATACAGGATCATGTAACTAAAAAGATAATTATAAATAATAATACCATGTTTAACAAAATAAAACCTAATTAACAATTTTTTTTCTGTAACCTAAGTACCAAAGGCAGAATACATAAAGACTTACTGCAAATTTTCTGCTTCCATATCTTCTTTCAAATATCCTAAAATTATAAATAAGCAGACTACTGCAGAAAGTATCTTTCAAATCAAGGCAAATTATTCTTCCACATATCAACCTCCAAATCTAGATGGGGATTTAAAAAAGAACAATAAATAAGAGTAAGATTTGTTCAGGTCTCTTCCTTAGCAAATTTATTATGTTCACTTTATTTTATTTATGTTCACTTTATTCACTGTCTATTTTTTATAATCTAATTTAAGCAAAAGCATAATGCACACACAAAAGGAAAACTAAAATGTGTTCACTAAGAAATGAGCTCAATTTTCTCATACTAAAAAGTTCTTCCAACAATAGCACAAGGGTACTTAAAATAGTTTTGCTTATTATGAGAAAATACATTCTCATTAAAATAACAGAAAACTTCTTGTAAAAAATTTTAGGACTATTTTTAGTGAGATAAAAAATTATATACATAAGCTGGAATGAAAAGCTAATAAATGTTCACTTTTATGCTACTGAATAAAACAGTTGTAACTGAAAAACAATTTAGGTATAAATTAAAAAATATATATTTCTGAGCTTAATTTTAATGATCAACTTACTTCACGGTAACTATGTACAAGGTAATTTATGGCAATTGCTGCTACATATGTCCAGGTTTGAAATATTAGCTAATTTAAATCATTAGTAACTATTAGTTTATTCAAATCATTATTTTACCCAATGTTTGGTTGGGTGAAGAACATATATGGAAATATACAAATAATAAAGAGCTACTCAAAGGTCTATTTTGAGTCCTCTTAAACATTTTTCAGATTTTTAAAGATAATGACATTTGCAAAACATTCTGATTTTCTTTCCCCATCACAATTACCTTATGAGATAGGTAAAACATATTAATCCTATCTTTTCCATGGATTTTTGTGTGGTAAAATAGACATAAGATAAAATTTACTATTTTACTATTTTAAGTGTAAAACTCAGAGGTATTAAGAACACTGGCAAGGCTGTGCAACCATCACCACTATCCATTTCCAGAACTTTTTCATTATTCTAGACAGAAACTTTGTACCCATTAAACTCCCCATTTCCTCCCCACCTAGTCCTCAGTAAACACTATTCTACTTTATGTCTCTATGAATTTGCTTATTCTAGATACATGATGTAAGTGGAATCACATATTTGTCTTTGTGTCTGGCTTATTTCACTTTGCATAATGTTTTCAAGATTCATGCATGTAGCAATCTCATTCTCTTTTATGGCTGAATAATATTCCATGGTGTATATATACCATATTTTGTTTATCTATTTTTCTGTTGATAGACATTTGGGTTGTTTCCACCTTTTGGCTATTGTGCATAATGCTGCTGTGAACATTGGTAATATTAACCCTAACTTAAGACAAGAAAAAAGAGGCACAGAGAAAGAATTTTATTTGTCTAAAGTGATACAACCTGTGCTCTTGTCAACAGCAATAATAACAAGTGAGAAAATTGACTATACTCAACTATCTCTACTTCAGGCAAGACATCGAGCATTGTCTTTGTCATGAGTGTACTCCAAAATATGAGGGCACTGGACTGGTTCAGGCATGGCCACTGGAGTTCATTTCCCCTCCCAACCTAGCTGAACTGGGGTGGCTGTCTGCAAGCCTGTGTTGAGGACACAGCTTGGTTCAAGGAGAAGCAGCAGCATGATCAGTTAGGAACGATCAACATGGGCACACTTGTGTCTCACAGGTGGCATCTCCAAACTAACTCTCTTTCCTCCCTCAGAAATTCCATGACTCTGCACCAGAGTCACGCTAAAACTTTAGGTTGCATTTACTACTATCAATATGATCAAATAATAAAGTATACACGAGAACACCTAGGAAACTGTCAAGTACTTCACAAATGTAAGATGATGATGACTATCATCTTTGCAGAACAGCAGATTCAAAAACAATGAAAGGCAGCCCTAAGTCCCTTATCCCCACATTTACTATTAAAATGAAAACACTCAGGGCAAGCCTGAGAGCCACTAGGAAAATCTGGGGATTAAGAAAATTAAGACTTTATGATTCCTAAAATATAACAAATTGCATTGATGCAACCCCATTTGTTTTTTGTTTTTTCAGTTAATGACAAAACTGGTAGCTATAGTTTTAAATAATTTATGTGTTATAACCATGCTCAAGGACACAAAGACTCGATAAAAGAATAAACAACAATTGCATTATAGCAAGTGAAATAATATAGAAGCTATACTGTATTCTGACAGAAAGCAGTAATATGGATAAAAGTCTCAAAGCCCTTCACAGGGATTTGGTGAAGCCAATCTGAGCAATGGTGTTAATTACATCAAGAGAAGGTGTCAGTGTTCAAGAAACAGATTATTGAGCTTAAAATGGCTAATCCAATGTTCAGCAAATAAAGGGTGGCATGTCGTACACCGGAATTTGCACTAACACTCCAACTCACAGACAAGACCCCAGCACCAGCATTTTCACTGACATCAGTCCAGAAACCTTGAAAGCCACAGAGTTCTGCTCTTTTCCATAGCAAAAACTCAAGAGAAATTTCCTACTTGGTTTAACCACCACTATAGAAGTGATCACAAATTTAAGACCTGTTACAGCTAAAAGAGCTTAGATCCTCTAATCAAATATTCAAACTAAGATAAGCTTTTGGAAAAGCTAAGTATGCATCTGAGCATAAAAAAATATTTAATGTTCTTTTTAATTCCCTTGAAGTTATAAATTGCATGTCCATGAGTAAAAAGTGAAACTGAAAACAGATGTGCCTAATAATAGGCAATACTGCAATTATTTCATTACAAATCTGCTTTACGAAAACACCAATAAACACAAATAGAAAATCTACTTATTAACAGAATATTAATAAACAGTATTTCTTACAAACTTAGTAGTTTTGAGGGACTAACAGCAGGAAGAAAAGGCAAATCTAGAAAAAGATCTGCCTTCTCTCTTCCCAGAGGACAATGCTGCAGAGCTCACCTGGAAGTCGTGCTTGACCGCGTGAAGGTCATACACAAAGAACTTCTGACAGTGAGGCAGGAGGAGGGCCAGCAGGAGGGACAGGGCACTGGGGACCAGCAGAAGACTCTTCGACAGAGGTGCCTTGTCTGGAGGGAAAGAGGAACCCACTTTCAGAATGACTGTTCCTAGGACTTAAAACCACATGGGTGAAAAACAAGAGAATTCACTTCTTTTAAAAAAGAATGAAGGCAAAGTCCAGAAACACTGTAGTTCTCTACCTAACATATATTTTCAAAACATCTATCTGAAGGAGCGATCAACGGACACTGGAAAACAAGTATGATTCACTGGCGGGGGCTTGTCAGTTGGCTCTTAAATGAGACTGAATCAAGTTTCTCGCCAGCGACTTCTATAGAATACCTTTCAGAAAATGATTACCCAGCAGTGTAAAGGGAAAAATATGTTTTCCATCAAATTGACCAGTTAGCTCCTGAGTGCGTGACATTCATATCCATAAAGACATTTGGTTTTTTAAATTTATTTTTATTGATACGTATTACATGGACATATTTTAGGGGTACATGTAATAATTTCATACATTCATATAATCACATCAGGATAGCTGGGATATCCATCACCTTAAATATCTTTTCTTTATGCTAGAAACATTCTAATTATTCTCTTCTAGCTATTTTGAAACGTACAACTGATTAGTGTTAACTGTAGTCACCCTACTGATCTACTGAACACCAGGTCTTATTTTTTCTAAGTATTAAATCTACATAGTATTAAATATTAATACTAATTAAGTATTAAATATATGTACAAATGTATGTTTATATACATTTATATATTTATATACATTTGTACCCATTAATCAAGTCCTCTTCATTCCCCTCTCCCTCCCACCTTTCCCAGCCTCTTGTAACCACCAAAATACTCTTTATCTTCATGAGATCCACTTTTTCAGCTCCCACTTATGAATCAGAACATGCAATATTTGTCTGTCTATGCTTGGCTTTTTCACTTAATATAATGACCCCTAGTTCCATCCATGTTGCTACAAATGACAGGATTATTTTGTATGGATGAATAATATTCCATTGTGTTTGTGTGTATACACATACACACATACACACACATTTTCTTTACACATTCATCCACTGATGGACACTTAAGTTGATTCCATATTTTGCCTAATGTGAACAGTGAATAGTGTTGAAATGAACCTGAGAGTGCAGATACCTCTTCAGTATATTGATTTCCTTTCTTTTGGATATATACCCAGTAGTGGGATTGCTGGATCATATGGTAGTTCTATTTTTAGTTTTCTGAGGAGCCTCCATACTGTTCTTCATGGTGGCTGTACTAATTTACATTGCCAACAACAGTGTAAGAGGGTTTCCCTTTCTCTACATCCTCATCAGCACCTGTTATCCCTTTTTGATAAAAGCCATTCTAATGAGGGTGAGATAATATCTCATTGTGGTGGTGATTTGCATTTCTCTGATGATGAGTGATGTTGAGCATTTTCTCTCATTCCTGTTGGACATTTGTATGTCTTCTTCTGAGAAATGTCTATTCAGATCTTTTGACCATTTTTTTAATTGAATGATTTGTTTTTATGCTATTGAGTTGTTTGAGCTCCTTATAAATTCTGGTTATTAATTCCTTATCAGATGGATAGATGACAAATATTTTCTCCCATTTGGTTAGTTGTCTCTTCATTTTGTTGATTGTTTCCTCTGCTGTGCAGAAGCTTTTTAGCTTGATGTAGTCCCATTTGTCAATTTTTGCTTTGGCTGCCTGTGCTTTTGAGGTCTAATATAAAAAATCTTTGTCCAGACCAATGTCCTGGAGTGTTTCTCCAACATTTTTTTCTAATATTTCCATAGTTTCAGGTCTTAGATTTAAGTCCTTTAATCCATTTTGATTTGACTTTCGTATAGGGTGAGAGGTAGGGGTCTAGTTTAACTCTATTGCATATGGTTATCCAGTTTTCCCAGCACCATTTATTGAAGAGACTGTCCTTTCCCCATTGTATGTTCTTGGGACCCTTGTCAAAAATGAGTTGGCTTTAAATGCTTGGATTTATATCTGGGTCCTTCATTCTGTTCCGTTGGTCTATGCATCTGTTTTTATGCCAGTACCAAACTGATTTGATTACTGTAGCTTTGTAGTATATTTTGAAATCAGGTAGTGTGAGGCCTCCAGCTGTGTTCTTTTTGATCAGGATTACTTTGGCTATTTTGGGTCTTTTGTGGTTCCATATAAATTCTAGGATCGTTTTTTCTATTTCTATCAAGAACATCATGGTATTTTGATAGGGATAGCACTGAATCTGTAAATTGCTTTAACAATATTAACTCCTTCAATCCATGAGCATGGAATATCCTTTCATTTTCTTGTGTCCTCTTCAGTTGCCTTCATCAGTGTTTTATAGTTTTCCTTGTATAGATCATTCACATCTTTGATTAAACTGATTCCTAGGTATATTATAAATTAAAAAAAAAACCTCAAAAGAGGTTAAAAGTGTTACTGCTTACTGCAGTAGACTCCTGAAATTTTCCACTATGAGTACCATTGGAGCTGGAGTCAGTTTTCAGGAGAGCCTGCTGTGACCTTTGCCTTGTACCAAAAGCAGTCACATTCTTCTTGCTCCTTGATCTAGTCACTTACACATAAGTATGATATAATTATACCATCAAGGATATTTGGGATATTTTAGAAACAGTATAAATCTCTTCTCTCTTCATTCTGATATGAGAGAAAGAAAATAAGCAAATTATGTTTTCTTCCAGCTCTTCATTTTTATCCCCAACAGAGAAAATGTCAGTTTTTCCCTAATTGGGAACATGCCTTCCAAGTATGTCATTCAATCAAAACGTACGTTCTTGTGAGACATCTAGGTGGCCTCTCCTCTCCCTCCTGGTCTTCCTCAGTTCCACTTTTGTGTTTTCATGCCTTCTTCTCTCACAGACACTGCAAACAAGCCCCTGAAGCTATGTGTTGAGCTAACCCATGGGGCAGGACAAGGGCTGGGGGTGGGGGGAAGGCCCTGGAGCCCATAAGACATGGGTTTGAGCCCTCATTTTGACACTTACTCATGCTTGTCCTTGGATACAGAATCTGACCTAATTCTCAGGGCTATGCTAAGAAGAAGGTGAGGTAAGTAAGGCATGTAGAAATGGCTAGCCCAATGCCCAGCCCATGATGGGAGCTCAGAAAAATAAAGTGAATCTAAATCTAGGAAAACCACTGAAATAACATGCTTTCCTTGGAAATAACTGCCTTATATTCATGTATCAAATGACTACTATTGAGAACTCAAGTGGTACCAGCAGATTTGGTTACAAAAGCATGGCTGAGATTTCCATAAAAGAATGAAACACTCAAGCTTAATCAAAACCTAAAATACTTTTTTTCTCTTTAATATCACTATTTTCTCCCATCCTCTTATTATAAAAAATTTTACACGTAAAGAAAAGTGTGGTTTTAACTTCTCCTGATGATCTTTGCCTGAATCAAAACTTATACTGGGGGGTTACATAATGGTAATTTTGATAATTCTATCATTACTTTTATATTTATTAGCTGGCATTTTCATGTGAAAAATTTCTTGTGTTCATTCTTCTTTTATTTGGGTATCACTCTATACTCACAGGTTTTTACTTATTCAATGTGTTACAATCAGTTACAGTCATCTTTTTCTTCTTTTTTCAATAATGTTCAAACTGTCCCAGTGGGAGCCCTTGAACAACCTTGACCCTGTACCTCTTGCTCTGGCCACCCTATCTACCCATTCATCTTGGAGCACTTCGTGGCTCTTAGATTCACCTGTACTCTCCCTGTTCCAGATCTAGAATTTCTCTAAGGAGCCCTGTTAGAGAATGTTGGGAAATGGTCTTTAGAAACCAAATCTGGGCAGTAGATGTGCTCAGTGTAATTTTGGGTGTCACTGCTTCTACCTCTCTCAGAGCTAGAAAACATTTTGTGAAATCACAATTCATAATGATATTTCCAATTCAAATCTAACGATTTAACACTACAAGACTTTTTGTTAAGCTCTTTGCATTTTTGTCTTTTCTCTCTTAAATATTAATATTTACCTGTTTGCTTTATCCTAGATTACACATAAAATAATTTTAATATTACAATATTAGTATCATTACAAACAATTAACTGCTTTTTAAGCCCATTGGGCAAAGTTTAAGATATCTTTGAATCTTTGAAGGTGTTTTTTTCCTTTTTGTCCTTAGAAAATGTATACATATATATCTCTCTACTAAGGATGGACAGTCTTGTGTTAAAAAGCTACTTGAAATAATTCTTTTCTCTGTGTGATTATGACACACAGATTTATTTGTTTACATTCAATGTTAGTGTTTGCTTTTTTCCCTTTTTAATTTTTTGAATATGTAAAATATTTACATTGTTCAAAACCTAAAACTATGAAAAACAAATGTTTTCTTACACTTCAGTTTCTTGCCCCCTCTATCCCATTCCTCCTACCCCACCCAAGCAGATATGTACATTTCTGTTAGTTTCCAGTTTATCTCCCAGTTTTCTTTTTGAAAAAATTAGTAACATGTATTAACACATATAAATACACACAAAGACACACTACAAAAATACATATATGGGCAGTTCCTCATTTCCACACAGCTCGGATATGCAAGACTTCAGTTACCATGATTTAGTAAAACATCACCAGTCTCCCGACAACATGGTTTGAATTTCAGTTATCACAGTATATGAACTGTGAATTATTGCATAAAGTACAAATTTTGCTGCTAGCTTTTCAGTACATAAATCACTATGTCAATAAGACATGCATATGATCAGTGACCAATCAAGTTACTTCTTTCAAAGTTTGTCAGTAACTGGTCAATTCATACACAGACAGCAAAGTCTTTGTCTCCCAGTGATAAATCCATACGACATTTTACAAAAATAGATCAAAAGAAGGAACTAGTCAATAAAGGTGAAAGTACAGCAAAGAAACGCAAGGCAATGCTGGAAGTGAAATGTCTTAAATGTAAGAGGGTTAAAGAAGACATAGAGAACCACAGGAATGCTAACACTGCCACCATTCAAGAGACTCCATATGTACAGCCAGAGAAACTTACTGAAGCCAAACTTATCA